ATGTATATTTGAATTTCAGCCACTTCTAAGTTCGGGGTGGTTTTTTGTTTTGTTTTGTTTTTGTTTCTTTTTTTTTTATTGCACAGTTGTCTGTGTACATGCTCCCACACATACTATTTTACTGTTCAGTGATCCATTTTTGTAAGTCTGAGTTCCCTGTGTTACACTTTGGCCAAATGTGGGCAGAGCCCAGGTCTTACTAAACGCCCTCCTCTTTGGCCCGGCCGCTGCCTATGATGGTGCCCTGGCAAATGAGGGGGCTGGATACCGGGCTTTTGATGTTATCCTTGTGTTTTCCTCCGAGGCCTTTTTAAGCGCCCACGTTTCCCCATTACCTCTGTGTAGAGGCCCTTTGTGCCTCTAAGGGGACTTTCCAATGAAATGGAGCCTGAGCCAAAAAGTTTGAATTCTAGAATATTCTGGAATCCCTCCCTTTTCCCTTCCCCAAGTGCTCAGACTCCCCTCTCCTCTTCTAGGTGGAGCCGGGAGGGGCAGGGGTGTGGTTAGATAGGAAAGGTTGCTTTCAAGCCAAGGTGAACACGGCTCAGGAAGGGTTGGTGTCCTTCTTCTTCCGGAGAAAGGCCAGATACTTTAACTTGTTTCTGCAGAAGCTGCCAAAAATATTGGTGTCCTCGCAGTACACGGTCACCACCTTGCGCACAGCACTCTTGCTTGGCCTTGGTGGCTGTCGGGTGACCCAGAACACAGAGCTAGAATCCGCCCCTTTGCCACCTTGCTCAGTTTTCATGACCTTCAAACATTCTTTTGTGTTCATACCCGGAATTGCTGGACTATACAGTAATTCTATTTCTTTCCTTTATTTCCTTTCTTCTTTAAAGAAAAATACTACCATCTCTATAGAGGTAGTCATTTTCTTCTCCTGCCAATGGTGCCCAGGGCATCCTACCAGCACTTACTACCTTCTTTTTAAAGGGTAGCTTCTCTGATGGGTGTGAAGTATCTAATTGTGGGTGTGATTTGCATTTCTCCTGTGGGCCATGCACTGACTTCCTGCTTATTGGCCATCTTTATGACTTATAGAGAAAAACATCGAGTCATTGCTTATGGTTGAGTTGGTTTGTTTTGGTTTCTGTTGCTGGTGGTGGTGGTAGGAGTTCTTGGTATATCCTGGATATTAGTCCTTTATCAGATACACAACTTGTAAAGATTTTCTCGTACTCTTGTGTGTGGCCTTGTTACTCCATGGATCACCTTTTAATGTACAGAGTAGACATTTTAATGAAATATAGTTTATCTAATGGATGACTTAAAATATTTAAAATAAAGCATAAGAAAGATAGCGAAAGAAAAGAACAGCACCAAAGATGAATTCTGTGTTTGTCCCCTTGCGCTGGTGAAACAGCCTTTGCTCTGGGGAAGCCCCGGCCCATGAAAGGGAGTAGCTGGGAACTAGAAACCACCAGAGCTATTTCGAGTCAGTAAGAAACCTACCCGATACCAGCGCCCGGGTGTGGGTGTCCGGGGAACGGGGGCGGCACTGTGGCGCTGGGGTTTCCCTGAGATCTGTGTGGTGAGTGGGCTCAAAGGCAGGAAGTTCGCTATTGGGAAAGCCGCGGGGGCAGCCACCTGCCTCTTGGGGCCTCCTTCGCTGTAGGTCCGCTTCCAGCTCCCAGAACAGGTTCCAAAGAACGGCTGTCTGGCTGCCCTTTGCTCCCTGTAAATCTTTCACCACCTTTATTTTGTTTCATGAGATTATTTTTTTCTTCTTGATTCTAAAAATAACTATGCTGATATACAACTGACCAAAGTATAAGAAGAAAACATCAGCCATCAGTCCACCCCCGGGGTGGCAGTAGCAACAGTGATCATCCATTAAACACGATTGTGATGGAAATTGGGCTTCGTGTTCTCCTAGAGAACCCCAGCCACCCACAGCCCTCCATATCTGTGTGCAGCGGCAACTCCTAGCTCTTTAGGGAAGGACTGGTTAAGTGCAGCTGGGCTCAGTTCAGATCTATCTGATTTCAAAGCCCATTTCTACTCCGGCCTCTCTCTATTCTGCAACCGTTAATCTCAGCAACAGTGAGACATACTATCTATGGGTTCGTTTTCTCATAAAATGATCTCGTGGGTGCAAAAACCACAAGGTTGTTTTTTTTTTTTTTTTTTTTTTTTTTTTTAGTTTTTCGAGTATAGCTTTGGAGCCTGTCCTGGAACTAGCTCTTGTAGACCAGGCTGGCCTCGAACTCACAGAGATCCGCCTGCCTCTGCCTCTGCCTCCCCCTCCCGAGTGCTGGGATTAAAGGCTTGCGCCACCACCGCCCGGCTTTGTTTGTTTGTTTGTTTTTTGAAACAGAGTTTCTCTGTGTGTAGTCCTGGCTGTCCTGAAACTTGCTCCATAGACCTGGCTGGCCTCAAACTCACAGAGACATACCTGCCTCTGCCTCCCGAGTGCTGAGATTAGAGGTGTGTGTCGCCACTGCCGGCTGCTTCTGCCATGGTTTTAACCCATGCCGATGTGTTAGCACCTGCCTCACCCTGCCTGACAGCCACTTGGGCAATCCTTCCACTTCCCCTACTTGTCCAAGAGGGCTGCTGTGCTTTCTAATGGCCAATAAGAAAATGACAAGGGTTTTGTTCATAGCAACCCCCCTTTCCCATCATCTTCTAAAAGGGATGACAAACAGCTTCCCTAGGGACTCCTAAGAGGCTACCCATTGCTGTACCACATTCCCATCTTCAACTCCAGACAACACTTGGTGGAGATCCCAACCCATCCATGCCTGCCTCGGTTCAGAGCTAATGTCCCTACTTGTTAGTCACCCCAGACTTGAGATGAGAAGGCACTGAGATAGTTAACCTCAGTTGCCAACTTGGTGAGCTCTAGGTCACATGAGAGATAGAAGTCTGGGCACACATGTGGCGTGTGGGAGGGCATCTTAGTTAGGTCACCTGAGATGGGAAGGCCTGCCCACTGTGGGTGGTGCCGCCTTTGGACCATAAGAAAGGTAGAAAGGGAGCTGAGCACAGGCGTTCGTGGCTCTCTGCTTCCTGACTGCAGGTGTGATGTGACCTGCTGCTCCAGCTCCTGTTGCTCTGACTTCCACACACGAATGGAGCACACCCTACACCATGAACAAACAAAATCTCCCCTTCTTTAAACTGCTTACCTTGGAGTTGCTTTCTGCAACAGGCAGGAACTGGGGTAGATACCTTGCGTCCAATGCTAGGGATGAGATCCCATTTGTTCCCTTCCTACATAAATAGCACAGGCTCTGTATTAAAAGGTAAACTAAGATTCCTCTGCAACTGCCCCCCCAACTCATGACCACTAATACTTGTGTTTTGTGACACTAATGCATGTATGTGTTTGAAAAATGAAACCATGCCATGAGTACCATTTTCTTACTTGCTTCTTTCTCTTAACAGAGTTACTGGCTTCATTGCAGCCACTCGCTCTGTCACCTTGGCCAAATTAAATTCTCTGTGCCTCAGATTCTTCACACAGATAGTGGGGATGCTGTAAAGTTGAAGTGATTTTGTATGAAACACTCACACCTGGGCCTGCTACTTGTGTTTGCTATTTGGTTCTTATTTTTTATTCTTATTCATTCTCTTCGCTGTTTTTCTATTGCTGTGAAGAGACAGCATGACCAAGGCAATTTATAAAAGAAAGCATTTAATTGGGGCCTCACTTAGTTTCAGAGGGTTAATCCATTATCATCATAGCTAGGAGCACAACAGGAAGCAAGCAATCACAGCACTGGAGCAGTAGCTAAGAGCTTACATCTGATCCTAAAGTTCTTGATGGAAAGAGAGAGAAAATGACTGCACCTGGCATGAACTGTTGAGTTCTCAAAACCCACTGGCAATGACACACCTCCTCCAACAAGGCCACACCTCCTAATCCTTCCTTCAATAGTTCCACTAAGCATTCAAACCATGAGCCTGTGGGAGCATTGTCATTCAAATCACCTCACTCATCATTCTTTCTGTTTTATCTTCATTTTGTTTTTAGATAGGGTCTCAAACTGTAGTCCAGGTTAGCTTACAACTCATGAAGTACCCCAAGCTAGCCTTGAACTCAAAGCAAGCCTCCTGCCTCAGCCTCTTGAGCATTAGGTTCCTGGTTTGAGCCAGCATAGCCAGCTCTAAACACTCTCTATCTCCAGACTCCAGCCATACATACCAGTGGCTCTGGTTCTTATCCAGGTAATTTGTCCCAGAGTCATGTGTGGGGACAGTTTTGGTTGTCGGGCAGGTGGGGAAGATGCTTAGGCTGCTAAGTATCCTACAAGGAACAGGCACAGCCCACAAACCCCCACAAACCCCACTGCTGAGACAGAGTGAACCTAGTGATTCTGTATTTCCTCAGCCAGCTCCCTATAACATATCTTCTTTTTATGGGGAGGGGGTGGCTCGAGACAGGGTTTCTCTGTGTAACCTGGAACTTTCTCTGTAGACCAGGCTGGCCTCAAACTCACAAAGATCCACCTACCTCTGCCTCCCAAATGCTGATATTTAAGGCGTGCGTGCACCACCACCCAGCTTCTTTTTCAGATTGAGTGGACACTATTCTGCACTGTGAGAGTCACGCCAGTGGAGATCTTAGGCAAGAACCAGACGTGGTCCTGAACGGAGATCTGTCAGCACAGCACGCACAGCAGATCAAGGTGCTGGGCGGAGAGGAGCAGAATACCGCCCGACGGTCCCTACAGCAGCCCAGACAGTGGGGAGGAAGGAGTCTAAGATTTGTGACCTTCAAGACATCTCCCACCTCCTGTGACCTTTTAGCAACTATAAACAAGGCTCCATTGTGTCACTGGTGGTAAAGTTCCCAGTTAAGGAGCCTGTGTGTTTGCCAGGGAGGGGACTTACTGTCATGCTGGCCCAAAGATGTCTGGGTGAGATTAAAGGGTCCTTTATGTCACCCCTCTTCCGTGACCAGAGAGGCAGTGGTAGTCTTCTCCAGTTTTGTCTCCAGACCGTGAACTGAAAAACTCCTTGAGACTGACTGCTGACCTAAAGACACATTTTAATGACTGGCTTTGTTTACAAAAGAGAGCCGGGTGGAGAGGGGTTTTCCAGCCAGTTCCAGAGAGCATGTTCTTGCTGGTGAAGGAGGCCCTTGTAGCTGGCGGGGGTGGGGAGTGGGGCTGTGCTACTCAGACGCCCCCACCATTGTTAACTACTTGCTGCATGCCTTCTGCAGGACAGTGGCCCTGCCTATGACATGGGATAGCTTGCTCTCCTGCAGCAAGCACTGAGACAAAATAAGGAGGGCAAAATAAGTAACAGACTCTAGACGTGGAAGCTAATCAGAAAGCCGTCCCCCACCCCAGGAGCTCTGCAGCTAGTCAGAGCACAGATCTCTCTACAGACCCAGCAAACCTGGGAGACTCAGCCTGGCTCAGCTGCTGCAGGGCCTGACTTGCCTGCCAGTCAAGGGTTCTGACTCTTGCTGTTAGATAGGCCTGCAGCCTTTTCTGTGGCTTCTGTCCTGACTCTCTGCAGGACAAGCTGAGCCTTTGCTCTCTCCTCCATGACTGTCCCCAGTGACATGGGAGGTTGTGCTGTCTCAGAGAGCTCACTATGTGCTGGGGGGCGGGGGGGGGGAGGCTCAGGTCTCCTAACAACACCCACACTGTGGTCCAGCATCCAAACAATAGACTCTCCCCAAATCTTACTAATGATTTTTCCCAAGAGGCAGGCAGTCTATGCCAGGGCTCTGGCAGTGAGCTGTGAGGTGCCCGCCTCAGCGTAGAGTTTCCAGGTGTCTGTGAGCCTGGCAGAGTTCCCTGCCTACTCTTCTAAACAGTGGAGATAGTAGCATCCTTGAGGTGTGCCTAAGATCTGCTTCACGGTACTTGGCACGAAAGCAAGGAAAGAATGTTGTTATTATTTCACGAGCCCCTGGAAAGCTAGCCCGAGTTCATCCGCAGGGTATTGAGAGGAAATTGGTTTTCTCAGTTTCCCTCAGCGGAACGTGAGAGGAGAAAGGCACTGGGTGTCGCTTTGTCCAGAAGCATGGCGATAGTGATGGGCAGGCAGCCTTGTTTGCAAAGCGCACTCTGTGTGCTAAGAAGTGTGGCTGGGACCCCCGTAAGTCACAGCAGCAGTGGCTGAGGATGAAGCGGCAGAGCACAGTAAAACATTGGAAGATATGAGGTGAGCAGTCACACGCTTATCCAGTGGAGCAGATCTGGAAATCCAGTACAGGTGGCCAAGCCTCTCTCCGCCCGGCATCCTGGCTGAGTGTATAAACTCTTCCGCTTCCCTCGGCTGAGAAGACACAGCCCTGCCTCAGCTGTGGGCAGCGTGCGCCACGTCTCCACGCCTCTGACAGGGAACCCCTCATTCTCCTCTTCCTCCCCACACCCACCCCTGCCTCACTTCCTCCCAGACTTCCTCTCTCCCTCTCCCCTTCCTCCCTGCACCCTCCCCCCAGCCTCACTTCCTCCCAGACTCCAAGGCTCTGAAACACTTGGCGCTATAATTCTAACATTCCCCAGATTATAACGAGAGCACTGAGGAATCCTCAGACGTTCTGAAGTGATGGCCTCCCTGTAGGGACACATCTGTGCTGAAAGCTGCTCTCTGGGAGTGGAGGGCGGAAATGTGACCAGTGATTTTATCTCTTTTATCTCTAAAAAAGAAAAGAAGAAGTGGCAGGTGCAACCCAGGGGCTTTGTGCTGCTTCCAAAAAGCTGGCAGCTTCTTCAGCTCAGAGAAGACAATGGACTTGGCGGAAGGAGCTCACAGAGGCAGACACCCCCAGGTGGGGCTACTACCCGTGATGAACTGGGAATTAACCGAAGGGCAGTCTGGGTTCTGAGACAGGAAATCCTGCCCTTAGGGTGGATAATAAATGAGGCAATGGCCGGACTGTGGAAGGACTCAGTTTGCCCATCTGTTTATTGGGCACACATTTGACACCCTGCCACCACGTTCCTGGGAGCACTTCTTCTTTCCACCTCTGCTGTCTCGGCATGCACATGGGTCTCACCACCAGCACAGTCCTTCCACGGCTCACATAAACACCACCATCAGATTACCACACTGTGCCAAAACAGACCTCTGGGAGGGGTTGGGGGTGCAGCTCAGTGGGTAGAGCACTGCCTAGCATGCAGGAAGCCCTAGATTTTCAGTTTAGAGTGGAAGCCTGAAGGCTGCACAGAAAAAACAAGACAGGCAGAGCCTGGATTTCAGGAAACACTTACCTGTACCTGCTCTGCAGGGGGTGCAGGCAGGATCCCCTGTCTGAAAGACTCTCCCTCGCCAGCTGCTCCACCTTAGGGCTCCAGTGTGGGGGTTTGACTTTAGCCATTGTGGGCCTTGTCAGACACCCCTCACCCCTGCCCACCTCATTCAGTCCCGTTCTTCCGATCTTACAAGAGTTGGGAAGCACGGGCCCATCTGTGAAGGGGAGGGCAAAAACTGGAGCTCAGGAGATGTAGGCAGGAGGGATTCTCTCTGTCTGCAGCTTGTCCCTTCCTCTCTGGGAGGACTCTTCCTGGACTCGCTGTAGCGGTGACCAGCATGGCTCCCAGTTCCCGGCTTCCACCCTAAACTGAGGGATATGCATGAAGCCAGCCTCTTTGGTCTTAAGCTCTGGAAGTGAGTCCCACTGTCATCTGGGCCAATTTAAGAACAGCTCAGTCCCTGTGCTGCGCCTGGAGCTAGGGCTGGAGGAGGGGGACCATCCTCCTAGAGAAAGTAAGGCCCTCATGCTCATCAGAGGCCTGGAATGGACCCACAGCAGGAACGATGCCCCGGAAGCTGTGTTCTTCAAATATGAACGAGTGCATAGATCTCTTGAGGTTCTTGTTATAATACATATTCGGTTTAATAATTCTTGGAGTCAGCTTTTTAAAAAATATACATTTGTTCATTTATTTGTTGGAGGTGGGGGCGTGGCTGTGCATATGTGAGTGGAGGTCAAAGGGCAAATTCATCCACAGTCAGTTCTCTCCTTCTCTACCTTGTGGGTTCTGAAGGGATGGAACTCGGGGCATAGAATTAGACAGCAAGTGCCTTTACCCGCTGGGTCATCTCACCAGCCCCCAAGAATCAGAATTTTCCCACCCCTCCATGCTGGCACTGCCCACTTGGGAACCACACCCAGGGCACCAAGCAAAGGTCTGACAACAGCTGATACCTCTTCCAGGTGTCGGGAACCACACCCAGGGCACCAAGCAAAGGTCTGACAACAGCTGATACCTCTTCCAGGTGTCTGGAGTGCTTGTGCAGTAAGGGCAAACTCAGCAACTGATGGGACCCAGTGTCCCAAAAGCCTTCCTGCACCCCAAGGCCAGCCGCTCCTCTTAGACTGGCCCTCACTTGTTAGATGGCAGGCAGGACAACTCTTCCTTCTCATTCCTGTTGTGCAGATGAGAAAATGGGGGCTCAAGTACCTTGTTTGGCTTCCTGAGTCACCCAGCTGCTTTGAAAGACAGTGCAGGCACAGACAGGACTACATCCCAGGTCCTCACAGGACCCTCCCCAGGCTTCTTTCTGGAAGCTTCTGAAGGTCTGCCCAGAGAGAAGAAAGAAGTATATCACCGTGTATGGGCACACTTCCCCAGGGTCGGAAATTTCCAGGGTGCAAAGTGGAAAGCTGTGTCATCAAGACCTTGTGACCTCCTGGGTGCTGTTTGAAAATCAAAGTCACAAAGGCCAAAGGTCGTCTAACGCTCTACTTCCCACTGTTGCTGGGGCTGTTTTTAACCTCTGTCTCATGTTGGTTCACTTCTTCATGACCTCCCAGAGACTGTTGTTCACAGTTACCCTCTCACCCAGGGTGGGGCCGGTCACACCTGAGCTGTAAGTAAGATAATGTGGGAACCGGTGCCTCCTCAAAGGGCTGGGCGCCAATTTGTAATTTTCAGGAGGACTCCTTGGGGGAGGCATACGTGTATGATCTAAATGTGCTCCTGGCTTCTGGAGGCAGAACCCCACTTGCGATGGGTTAAATTAATCCATGGGCTGAACCCATGGTGCCCGAGGCACCTCAGAATTCAGTCTTGCGTGGAAACGGGGTCTTTGCAGATGTGGTTGGGTGGTGAGAACAGGACACTCATCCACTCTGCCTGGCATCTCTGTAAAGAAAAACATAGGGGGCCGGGCGGTGGTGGCGCACGCCTTTAATCCCAGCACTCGGGAGGCAGAGGGAGGAGCATCTCTGTGAGTTCGAGGCCAGAGTGGTCTAGAAGAGCTAGTTCCAGGACAGGAACCAAAAAGAAAAACACGGGCACACACTCTGAGAACATAGACAGATTGAAGACGGTGGCAGAGCAAGTACCTCATGAATATGTTTCAGCAGCAGAAACGAGCTAGCACAAACAAATGCTGGTCCACCAGCAGAAGCAAGACAGCAGTGCAAAAGAGACTCCCTCAGCTCCTCAGAGGGAGCCAGCCCTGGTGCCACCTTGCCCTCAGCCTCCCGACACAGAGCTCTGAGACGATTCATGTCTGTTGTTCAACTCATCCAGTCTTGTTTGCCTTTTTGGCAAACTTGCTTGGCTCACCCGTCATTTTGAAAGTCCTGCTGGGCCAAGGGAGACTCTCACAGTTTGACACTTAATTCTTCCTCTAATTGTGCTGTTATGGTGATTGCGGGTTTTCAGGTGCCTCATGGGCTAGGCTATGCCTCTTGTTTTCTTTAGTCTGAGGAACCCAGACCTATTTACTAGGACGACAAACCTGCATTGGCCTGACCAAACTTCCGGAAAGTATTGATTAATGGTTCACGCGGATTGATTTATTGCTGCGCACCTCCCAGAAGTACCCCGAGAGTACTCCAGGCAGCAGAACCCCTACTTTGCACTGAAGTAGTTGTACCTCAGAGCCAGCCCAGGAGAGTAGAGTTTCTAGAACTTTCCAGAAAAAAAAAAAGTTCAGAAATTGGGTGAAGGAAGGTTTCCAGCCACAGGTGAGGGAGGTTCTGAGTTATGAACAGTATGGGTCCAGTATGTAGTTCAGAAGGTAAGATTTGGGGTCGGCAGGAGACTGGGGGTGGCCTTAGAAGCCCCCTCATCTCCCCGTCTTTCTCTCTGGCCCAGATGACAGTTTCTGACTTGTTCACAAGTTGTGCCCTGAGAGTGGCTGGGCAGCCTGGGGAGGGCAATGAATCACCAGCTTCTCCGTGGGAAGCATCACAAAGGCCAGTCCGGCCCAACCCAGCCACTCCTAATACATGGACCCCACCCTTTAGTACACACATCAGCCGGGCAGTCACACTGCCTCTGAGCCTGGCCCAGGAAGAGGCCCTCTGAGATGACGTCCCGTGGGCACACGGAGCCTCGACCACTCCTACTTAGGCACCACGCTGCCCTCTTCCCATCAGTCCTCTCACTGCAGTGTTCAGCATGCGGAGTCCGGGGCAGCAGTTGTGAGGTTCACCCCCTAGACTCTTCACTGCTCCTCACCCCGCCCCCGATCTGGGTCTCCCAGGCTGGCCCCAAACTCGCTGTATAGCTGAGAATGACCTAAACCTTCTGGCCTTCCTCCCTCTGCTCGGTGGGTGCTGGAACACAGCATGGGACACTGTGCCCAGTAATGCAGTTCTGGGGACAAGTCCGGGACCCTGGGCATGCTAGGCGAGCATTCTGCCTGCTGAGCTGCAACGCCAATCCTCCACCTGCCCTCTTCTCCCGTGCAGGACCAGATCTAGGTTTCCACCTGACTCTGGCACTGACTGCTGTGGCCTTTGCAAAGTTACTTTACCCTCTTTGGACCTCAAATTCCTTAGCTGTAAAAGAAGGCCAGCCATAAATACTCACCCCGTCCTGTTGCGATGAAGTTTAAACGAGAGCGCTTACGTCGCCATGCTTGGCATAGCGAGCGGCTCTCTCAGCGCGCATACCGTTGTTCTGTGACGGTGAGTGATGAGCATCCTGGGCTTGTATAGCGTGGCGGAACGCTGATTCAGACACCAAGATGCACATTCCGATCTATTGCAAAGCTAGGAGATATGACATCAGTTTTACCTGCTTTACTGAAATCGCGCAGCCTGTGACTTTTTGCTGAGGAATTTGCACTGATACAAGGCAACACATTCATCCTCCAAATATGTTCTGAGCACCTGCTAAGGAGGTGACGTGTTCTTGGCAGTTCTCAGAGCAGAACTGGAGGGCGGGAAGGAAAAAAGTGACTGGCCGGCGCCCAAACTCAGGAAGTTTCCTTTATTGCTTTCCCCTAGGTCAAGGTGGATTCTTCACCCACCTCTACAGACTGGGCCTAGCATTGCCTCAGGAAATGGCCAAGGAGCTGAGGCAGGAGAGGTCTGTGCCAGGGTTTGGACCAGCCTTGGAGCTGGGATCCCAACTTTTTTTCTCCTAATTCTTATGAGCATAGGAATGCAATTATCCCGCCATAAACTCAGTTTCCTTTGTTAAATAATGTAATTCCTAGGTAAGACTTTCTAGGCTTTCAGCTTTGTAACTGCCTCTTAGTAAATGTTTTTTTCATTCATTCATTGATTCGTTCGTTCATCTATCATCTATCCACTCATTCATTCATCCTCCACATACTCTCCTAACCACCCAGCGTTGCTGAGACTACTCTTGGGAGCTGTCGCAGGAGTTGAGGGAATGAGGAAACATGAGATATGCTATTCCCAGGCCCCCAGAATCCAACAGTGGTGACACCTCAGTTTCCCTCACACCCTTCCATGTGCTGACGTGAATCCGGCAATCAGAGGCCATGGGACTAGTTCCCAGCAGAGCTGACCTGTTCTCAGTCCAACCCAAAGGACGAGTGGCTCCTAGGATCCAGGCAACACATAGCCTAGCCTCTGGGCAGGTGCCCAGAGTAGACATTCCCCCTCTCTTGGACCACAGCCAATGGGAACCCAGCCCTTTTACCTGAGCTCACCACCCTGTGTTTCCTGTCTCTCAGTAGGTTTGGGTTCTCAAAGAGGGCTGGGTGGGCTCCCCAGAGCAAACTCTCAGTTCAGACAGGAAGTAGGTGGGAGAGCTCCCAGGCATATCTCACCCTTTCCTTTGAACAGCAGGGCTCTATAGCAGTCTCCCCCCGGAGAGCTCTGCTTTCTGCTTTAGGGACGCACTCTTAGCTGCAAGGAAGCCTGGGAAAAAAAGAGGGAAGTATCTCATAACTGGCTTAGGTCAAAGGTCAGAAAACTTTTTTCCTGGAAATGGCTAAAATGTAAATATATTGTGTTCTCCTCAGTACACTGAATGTGACATACATGTCACAACTGCTCACCTCTGCCCCTGTGGGCTGGCAACAGCCATGTGTAAGTGTGTGCTGCTGTGCTCCAGTCAAAGTGTTTACATGCTTGCACACACGTGAATGTCTGGCAGCTTCCACGTGTGAATATTATCTTAACTTCCTTCAAAAATTTAAAATCTTTAATAAATAAATATTAAAAAAAAAAAGCCGCGCCTCTCTTCTGGAGGACCTGAGTTTTATTCCCAGCACCCATCTGGTGGCTCACAAGCGTTTGTAACTCCGGTGCCAGGGGATCTGATGTCCTCCACAGGCACTGAAACTCATGGTACACATATGTATGTCTGGGCAAAACACTCATACGCATTTTTTAAAAATCTAAATATTTTGAAAATCTGTTTTCAGGGTCTGAGGCAGAGTTCGGTTGCTAAGCATGTTGCTCTAGCATGCACAAGGACCTGAGTTCCACCCACGGTATCACGTAAACTGGTGTGACGTACAGCGTGCAATACTCAGCCACACAGGAATTTGAGGCCAACCTGGATTTTAAAAGGGGACTGGTTTTAGAGTGGGGAGAGGCATACAAAAGGAACACTGGGCTGTGGATGAGCGGATCTACCTTTATTCCATGACTTGGGACTTAAATTCTTGCCAACTTCTGTCGTTCATCCTTAAGCGAGACTCTCGTTTTTCCTTCTCTCACGCCATCCATTGCACAGCTGGCCTGCCGACTCCCGAATACTCCAGCACTCTAGCGGGGAGAGTCAGGCATTCCCACCCACACAACATTCCAGAAACACATCGCTCCCCATTCCCGAGGAGAACCCCAAAAGTTTTCCTGTACATCCTGTTCTCCGTGTCCCTTTCAATCTGGGTTATTAAACTCAGCACCTCAAAGGTGATTAAAAATTAATTTGGCATTCAACAGGCCTGGAAATGAAGTTCAGGAGGAGGCATACCTGGAGAGCCCAGCTAGAAGTAATTAGAAAATCGTCCTGCTGGGCAAGAAGAGTAACTAAGTCATGGCCACAGCCTCGGAGAGGGCAGTAGAGAAGGAGAGGACAGTGGAGAAGCCAAAGGTGACCGCTGAGGTTACAGGGTAACTGCTCGCTTACTGTGTGTGGCTGTTGCTAACAAATGTATTACAAAAGCTGGTGGTTGACAATAAGGAGTTGTACTGAACTGGGGAGAATTCACAGGTGCGGCTTTGCCCAAGCCTGTGGGCCTCCCCCACTCTGTACACCCCGTGGTTCCGATCTGCCCCACCCCCACCCAGCAGCCTCTGCTCCTTCCTTCAGCCTTCCCATGTGCACAGACCTCCCTGCCCTCTTTGGAACCTCGGGCCATCCCAGCAGTCCCTCACCTTTTGCCCCGTGTCCAGTGCAGCCTGTGGTTCGTAGCCACTGGCCTCCAAGGATGGTTCCCCGTGTAGCCCCCACCCTATTCTGGGTGTTCTTTCATGTTCTTTGTCTCCCAGGCAACAGTCCTCCTGCTTGAGATGCCAGCCTGGAAGCTGATATTCCAGGATGCTGCAAAAGGGCACTTCCTTTTCCCATCTCGGAAGCCACCAGGGGCCTTCACACCTCCAGTACCATCCAACTTTCCCATCTGGTGTCTTTGAACACTGTGAGCAGCAGGAAATATCTAGTTAACCCTTGAGAACCGGAGCATTTTTTGGTGGCTCTCAGGAGCCTATTGGGAAAACTGTTTTACTCAAGGAGATCCCTGAACCCACTGCAAACTGCTTTGAATGAGATGATGTAACTCCTAGGTCTTTCTATGGCCTCCGAGAAGTCTAGGTTGTCTTAAGCTGAGCGTGGCTACTGCATTTAAATATAAATCAAATAAAATGAGAATCTCAGTTCCTAGGCTATATATGTGACTAGTGGCAATTGTACTAGGGAATGCAGATAAAACACATCTTCCTTCCAGAAAGTTCTCCTGGATGGTGCTCTCTAAGAGAATAAGGTATTTTTTTCTTTTTTTTTTCTTTCTGAGGAACAGTTTCATCTTTTGAAAGAATAAAAGCTTAAAAATCCTTTGCCAGGACTTTATAAAGAATATTGATGTAACCCCAAATGCAGCATCTATCTACATTGCAGAGAAGAAATACATTCTGGGCTGCAGTGGACCAGGCTTTCTGTTTTGGGCCACCAACCAGCTCCCAAATCATGACACATACTTATTAGTTTTGAATGCTCAGCTGTTTCTGGCTAACTCTTGTTATTTAAATGAACTGTTTCTCTTTATTTACCCTTTGTCTCGGGGCTTATTACCTTTCTTCTGTATATCTAACTTCACTGTTTCTCTGTGTCTGGCTGCCATCTGCCTGGCTTCTTGCTTCAGGCATCTCCCTTGTTCTCTCCTCTCTTCTCTCTCATTCTTCCTTCTCTCTCAAACCTAGCTTTCTCCTCCTATTTAGTCTCTCTGCCTACCAGCCTCACCTGTCATTTCTCCTAACTAGCTATTGGACATTCAGCTTTTTATTAGACCAATCAGGTGCCTTGGGACTATCATTTTTTTCCTGCCTAGCTATTGGACATTTTTATTAAAAGAGGATAAATTTTAAGTGCATGGGCTTGGAAGTCTAAGGCCTTGGGCAATTCACTTAACTTCCTGAAGCCTCTCCCTGGTTTCTCTTTCTGTAACTGTAGCTGTCCATCTTTAACTGTAGCTGTCTGTCTATAACTGTAGCTATCCGTCTGCACCTGTAACTATCTGTCTATAACTGTAGCTATCCGTCTATAACTGTAGCTATCCGTCTATAACTGTAGCTATCCATCTATAACTGTAGCTATCCGTCTATAACTGTAGCTATCCATCTATAACTGTAGCTATCCGTCTATAACTGTAGCTATCCGTCTGTACCTGTAGCTATCCGTCTATAACTGTAGCTATCCGTCTGTACCTGTAGCTATCCGTCTATAACTGTAGCTATCCGTCTATACCTGTAGCTATCCGTCTATAACTGTAGCTATCCGTCTATAACTGTAGCTATCCGTCTATAACTGTAGCTATCCGTCTATAACTGTAGCTATCCGTCTATAACTGTAGCTATCCGTCTATAACTGTAGCTATCCGTCTATAACTGTAGCTATCCGTCTATAACTGTAGCTATCCGTCTATAACTGTAGCTATCCGTCTATAACTGTAGCTATCCGTCTATAACTGTAGCTATCCGTCTATAACTGTAGCTATCCGTCTATAACTGTAGCTATCCGTCTATAACTGTAGCTATCCGTCTATAACTGTAGCTATCCGTCTATAACTGTAGCTATCCGTCTATAACTGTAGCTATCCGTCTGTACCTGTAGCTATCCGTCTATAACTGTAGCTATCCGTCTGTACCTGTAGCTATCCGTCTATACCTGTAGCTATCCGTCTATAACTGTAGCTATCCGTCTGTACCTGTAGCTATCCGTCTATAACTGTAGCTATCCGTCTGTACCTGTAGCTATCCGTCTATAACTGTAGCTATCCGTCTATAACTGTAGCTATCCGTCTGTACCTGTAGCTATCCGTCTATAACTGTAGCTATACCAGAGAAGGCAATCCAGGAGAGTGTTCACTCTGCACAGTGTTGGTTAAAGAAAGACCTGGTAAGAGCATCTCTTGACCCTCCCTGGAGGGGCTGCAACGTGGCAACACAGAAAGACAGGATGGAGACCCACTCCATCTATCTCTGCCAGACATGCCTGAAGGCTGTAACTTATATAACCTTACTTCTTTAAGAAACTAAATGAATCAGCAAGAAATTGGGATGAGATGGAGTGGAAAACCCTAGAACAGATCCCTGCCTCTCCGTCCTTTGCCCCCCCACCCCAGTTCCAAAATTCAAGTGCCTAGTAAGCAACTCCAGGTAGATGCTCTTCAGTGTCCCAGAGTCAAGAACCCCAAGTGCAACGGAGCGTCTTACATCTTAAAACCACCTGCTCTTCCTTCATGTCCTAGCTCAGGAATAGTGCCTGGTTTCTAAGAAACTAGTAATTATATGTGCTTGATCTCCAGATTTTATAGTCCTGTGATTTACTGTTCTATAGTCTAGGAAGCCGAGGTTCACAGAGATGAGGGTCATGAAGGACCTTGCTCCCTGCCACAAAGTCACTTCCCCATGTACGGTTCATTCCCCTCTCTCCAATTGTATGCCCAGCACACTGTTAGGGCCACATCATCTCCTGTCTGGATCACAGTGAAATTTCTCTATTGTTCCCCAGTGTCCAGCCAGGCTCCTTCCCACATCCTTCCCAAGTCACAGTCCTCTGTAAGAGCTACGCATTTAATGTCACCACTTTCTGGTCAAAGCCCCCGAAAGTTTTGTTCACCGGTGTGTCTCTGTGTGTTCACATAATGAACAACCCCAAACATTTAGCTCCATGAATGCATGACTCTCTTGAAATACCCCAAACCAAGATACATCCAGAAGTCTGTGACAGAGGAGAATTGGGGACACCTAGACTTGAAACTTGGGTGCCACCTCTGAGTGGAGGGATGGAAGAGTTACTGTAATGGAGAAAACGTGGGTCGATAAGTAATTCAGGCTTCCTTCTGAGAACTGATATTTCCATGAGGATAGAGGAAATGGGCTGTTGTGGACGGTTCCTGGGAAGGAGGACCAGCTGCAACACATTCCACGGTGCTCTCCAGGTATGTGGGCAAGGGTGTGCCGAGTGCTTCCACGGAAGAAGAATCGCCTGCAGCAGCCAGTTCCATAGCCACTTCCATCAAGCCAAGGATCCCAGGTTTCCACTTGGCCAGTGTTAAACAAGTTCAAGGTGGAAATCACTTCTTGGTCTCCTCATTCATCAGATCTGGTTTATGCTTCAGGGAACGCACCCTGATGTCTAGGCTCTTTCAGAGAATAGTGTCAATTCTCCACTTTCCTTACCCGCATGGCACCTTCCTTGGCTGCCAGCCTAGGAGCCAGTCATAGGTCCCGGGTGCTCAGACAGGTCAGTTTTCCCTTCAGAACACTGGGGGACTAAAAAACTCCTGTGTTCGTCTATTTTTTGTGACTCTAAAGAAAAGAGAAAAGAAAAGAAAAGAAAAGAAAAGAAAAGAAAAGAAAGGAAAAGAAAAGGGGGTGAAGGGGCATGTTCTGGTGCATCCTTTGGTCCCAGCACCTAGGAAGCAGAGGCAGGAAAACCTCTGTGAGTTTTAGGCCAGACCAGTCTACAACAAAGCTCCAGGACAGACAGGACTACATAGAGAGACCCTGTCTACAAACAAAACAGAACAACAACCAACTAAATTATCTTTTTAATTTCTCTTTTGAGAAAAATGAAAAAGGAAAAAAAAAAACCCTTGAGTGTGGGCAGTGTACAACAAGAAGTTGATTTGCCTCATGGTTCTGGAGGCTGGGTGTCCAAGACAATGGTGTGAGCTTGTCTCAGCATCCAGAGAGCATTGCCGCATCTAACACTGCCGAAAACCTCCCCAGGCGAGGCAGAGCTGCCGTGCCAGCTTCTCTCTCATCCAATATCCATCCAATAAGGCTGCCAAGGTTGTCATGAGGGCCACACACACCGTGACCACTAATTCACAGGTCTCCTCTCCCTGTGCATGTGGCTGGGTCAGCACAGTCAGAGACGATGTGACTCTATCCCACGTCTAAGCTCGAGCTCCCATGGAGCCCTAAGAGCCAAAGCCATGTGTCCTGCTTCTGTTTGTGGAGATGACAGCCCCAGCCTGAACGTGTCTTCTTGTGGTAGAGAGAAATGATGTAATAGCATTATAAGCGCTTGAAATCCCATCTTATGTAATATAAGATCACTTTAGAGGTCACCTGAACCAAAAATCTCCATTTACTTTTTTGTTTGTTTCTATTTTCCTTTAAACCTGCTTGGGACAGAGGTTTCTTGTACTTGGGTGTGAAAAGTGTCATCCCTGGTTCAGAAAGTGTCCGGGAGAAGTGAAGGAGGAGACCCACGATAATTGGAATCCAAGCCAGGGAGGGAGGTGCAAGGATAGTCAGGATGTGATGGTTGAGTGTCCACCCATGCTGTGCTTTCTGCACATCCCAGTGGCCTCTTAACATCCCCTCCTCCCACCCCAACCACAGTGGCTCTTCAGTCATGGGGAGAAGTTCAAGATGGGACCTCACTGTCAGGCGATGGTGGCTACCTCCACAGAGGAAGACAAGGCAAGGGTAACAAATGAGGTCTGTCTGAACCCTTCACTGGGCTCTGGGCCTTTCCACTCAGTCTTCATAACAGACATGTAGGATGTCGGCACTGGGATTTAGAGAGGAGAAGGTAACCTGTCCAACATCACGGAACCAACAAGAAGAGCTACAACCTATATCCAGGTTGTTCCAAACACATGTTTCTCCTACCACCATGGCTACTTCCTGAGGTCTGTTCTTTGGACCTCTGTCGCAAGCACAAAAGCCTGGGAGTAGGGGCAGCTGCCTGGCCAGCACAAATATGGAAAGCAGTGTGTCTATGTAGAACGAGAGGCCACCATGACAGAGAAAAGACTCCAAGCGGCCAATTTCTTTCCCAAGATTCGGAGTCCAACATCACACAAAGCCCTCCCTGGGAAGGGGGCAGAGGGTTGAAAAGTCACAAATCTGAGCCACCTGCAGAAGCTAGAGGAGGCCAGGGTCTTGGAGAGTCATCATGGTAAACATGCCGTCCTTGCACGCTGTGCCTTACAGGGTGGGTTACACGGGAG